CGGGGGCAGAGGTCGGCCTTCAGCGCCGAGAGGCGGGCGAAGGGGTCCTGACGAGGGTGTCTCTTCTTCTTGCGGAGGCAGACAGCTTCGTCAGGCGACAGTACCTGAGAGCTGGGAAGTTGCTGAACCTGGGAGGCAGAGCCGTCTAGGGGGGAAGAGAAGGCAGATGGGACCAGAGCCGGCAGCTAGCGGCAGCGCCGGCAGCAGGCAGAGCATTTTGCGTGCCGTAAAAGGGAGGTTACGGCAAGCTTGGCCCCAAACCCCGCTGCTCGGCGAGAAGGGAGCATGATGGGCATCAGGGAAAATTAAATTAACACTCAAAAAGAAAATGCAAACCAAATCACTGGAGATGGGAGATGCGTGGAAGGGGAACTCGGTTTGGAGGCAGGGGAGGAGCAGGGGAGGGACAGCCTACGGGTGAGCCGTCCCTTCGGGAGGCAGGGGATGAGGGCAGCATCCAGGCGTGGGCTTGGAGACCCCCCCGGTGCCAGAGCTGGCAGGGACCTGCCCGAACTCTGCCCATGGGGTGACAGAGGGGATGCCATCAGGGACCGTGGGGTCCTCACACTCACTGGATTGTTTTCTGGATTTCGAGGAGCCCTTGGATGACTTTTTGGGCTTCTTTATCCGCTGGTATTTCAGAGCTTCGAGCCTCTCAGGTGCAGCAGCGTCCCCGGACGGAGATGGACGTTTTCTAGGAAGGAAAAGCAGACAGGCACTGTCAGCAGCTCTCGGCCACACTCAGGCCTCCGGCCGTCCCCGGCGGGGGATCAGGCGACCCCAGCCAGCTCTGCCACAGAAAAGGAAAAGGCGAGAAACACGGGGCCGAGGGGGCGGGGCCAGCCAGGCGTTTTTTTGCGGAGCAGCGCCGTGGCCCCGGCTGGCCCCACCGGACACGTCCAACGCCAGCCCCGCAAGAGAGCTGCTGGCACCCCAGCTCACCTGCCTGCCATGCCAGCACAATAAACGAAAAAAAAAAAAGGACGGGGCAGATCCTATGTCCGATAAGGCATTTCTGGGAAGTGGTGGGAAACCCCTTGGGATGGAGAGAGAGAGGAAGAGACAGGCAGAAGCGGCACGGCAGCATCGAGACGGGCACCATGAGCCAACCTGGGCGGACAACACCGGCGCCACAAACAGCAGGGAGGCAGGATCCTGCCTGGCCCTGCTCCCACGGCCAAAAAAACCCAGGGGCCACATGACAGACAGGGACACAAAGAGCACACGCCGACACAGCCGGGAGCGCTACCTCGTTCCCAGGTCCCTGCTATAAGCGACAATAGAAACGCAACAGCACAGGAGAGTCTGCTCCTTAACACCGAGAGGCTGGGAGCTGGGTTTCCTTGCCCTGCAGGACAGGACATTGAAATGAAAACGCTGACAAGGTTTTATTGCGAGGGACAAGGAGGGGATTTGCAAAGGGGTGTTTCCTGCAGGAGAGGCAGTAGTTTTAAGTGATAGTTTTCCAGCTTTAACCCCTGAGAAACTCTTCTACAGGAACCAGCTCAAGGTTAAGCGGTCTCCCCTTTGCAAAGAGGTTTTTTTCTCTATTTTCTTCACTGTACCTGTTCTTCCCATCCAAGAATTGGACAGTATGACTGCTATGGAGAGCAGGGCAGTAGAGGAAAACCTTCTCCTTAGGAGACAGGTTGGTCCAGCTCTCATCTATAACACATCACAGCATCCCTCCCTCTTGCTGCTTTCCCGTTTCCTTCCCCCTCTCCATTTTACTTTCATGTCCCTCCAAGCTGCACCGACACCTAATGCCGCAGAAGGAGAAGTCTGAGTCAAGGCAGCAGAGGCCACAGGTAACGACCTGGGATCAACCTGAGTCACGACCGAGCAACCTGCGCACAAGGTGCCCAGAGATGACAGGAGAAGCATCCACAAAGTACCTTTCATTGCAATAAAGCCAACGCTTGAAGCCAGGCTCCAGAGAGAAAAGCCTGGAGATTTAAACCAGCGTGCCTCTAACAAGTCTGTCCTACCCTTCAAAGGAGGAGACAACACTCATCTGCTCTCACAACTCGGTCACCAGAGGTCAGGGAGCAAACCTTTTCAAAACAGCCACGCAGGGGACAGTGCTGATGACAACTCCTGCATCTTCAGATATCCGAGAGCAGGGCAGAGATCAGCAAACCCCGCAAGCCACAGGCTCTTCACAAGGCAGCAGGATGGGCAGGTAGAAGAGTCACCTCGACTGACTGCAAGGAAGCAGCATCAGTGCATTCAGACTCCTGCTGTGGCACCAAAAAGCCATGGCCGAACTCATCCACCTGAGGGTTCCTGGTCTGTTAGTAAGGTGTGATCCATGAGGTGTTGCAAAAACATTGCTGGCGGGAGCAGCAGGGAAAGCGTGAGGACATGGGCTTGAGCACAGAGCCCCAGCACACTCGGGCTGCGGTACAAGAGCAGGTCCACCTACTGTGAGTTTGGAGCTTCTCGTCTCCCTTGGGTTCCAGGTGGAGCCTCTCCAGCGCTGAAGACAACCCCCAGGCTTTCCTCTGCGAGTCCCCACGCGTGCCACCACTGCAGAGAGCACGGCGTGATAGCAACGCTTTATGCCTGAGATCCCAAAAGGCTGCCAGAGCGCTGATACTTCAGCTGGAGTGGCACAGGGGAAGAGCTCCCAAGGGATTTTTCCCCTTGGGGAGCTGAAGGGGTTTGTTTTTGAAGATGTGTGTGCTTGCAAAGCTTCTCAGTTCTGCTAGCAGCATTGGAGAGCACCAAGAAAAGTGCAGTGTGAATTGATGAAGCAGCTGGGACACAGCAGCTGCAACAGAAACCCAGACATTGGGTATAGAAAAGCCCCTTTTCATGTTTCCCATCGCAACAGAGACATCAAGGCGCGGATGCTCCTGTAGAGCCTCTGTTCCAGCTCCCAGCAGAGCAGCACATCAGCTGAAGATGAAGCAACTCATTAGACAAGTAGTCCTGCTGGCTGGATCCAAGCGAGAGCTTTCCCTCGTAGGAAAGACGACATTTACAAGCCCGTACAGCTTCAGTGCTTAAACGCCTTCTTCCCAAATGCAACCAGCCTCTTGTGAGAGATGCTGCGTGCGGCGGCTCCAAGCTCTGTTAGGGCACTACCCGCTGAGGTGTGCCAACGCCGACAGCCGCCGGGGTGCACCCCGTGCATGCACTGGCTCAGAGTAAGACCGCAGTGACCCAAAGGGCCAAGACCATGGCATATCCCTGCAGTAATTCCTGCTTGATTGGTCAATAACAGGCTTTTCCCATTTATATCCACCATTCTATGATTTGCACAACAGCTACATTCAGGCAGGTACTTGGCTAACGGTGACCACAACTGCTCCAGCCCCAGTCCATCCTCCCATGGAACCCACGTGTGCCAAGTCCTGGACGACGGCAAGCTGGTGATGCTGTCACCGTCCTGCCTTCCACGTCCCGTTCCCACCACTCAGGCAACTTTGCTAATATTATTAAAGCTCAACTTGTAGAAGGCTCTTGCTCTTTCCATTCTTTTTTCCTTCTAAGAAGATGCTACTGTGGCACGTTGACAAAATTAGACAGATTTACGCAAGGGATTATGAGGAAATTGCCTGAAGCTCATTTCCACTAGTTGGAATAATTGGACTTGTATTTATACACACAAACATAAGCAGCCAGCGCACTGAACCCATGTGTCACCATAAATACTGTCTGACCTCTGGCAAGGAAGAGATACAGAGGAGGACGAAACGATGCTACTCACCAGCCAAATTTTATCTGCTCTACCCACCCTTTATTTCTTCAAAGGACTCCAATTCTTTCAAATTAATTTTCATTTTAAGCTCAGCCAAAAGCCTCTTCCTCCCCCCAGAGTTAGTATTTTGGGTAGCTGCCCATGCACAAGAGCTATCTTGAACACCAACAGACGAGAGGTTCAGGGAGGCAGGCGAACTTCTAGAGACTTCAGTGTAGAGCCCAGCAAAGGAGCTTCAAGAAGCACATGTGAATTCCTGACGCAAGCCTTCTGCAAGGCACCACAAACACCAGGCACAGCAGTTTTCCTCAGGTCTTCAAAGCACAACCCTTCTGAACGAGCAAGGGTCTGAACTGCGTGGACAGAGAGGTACTGGAGAGGCCGCAAAAGTATTGAGGGACCTCAGAGAGCCCCAGGACAGGAGGAGGTAGCTAGGGGAGAAAAGCTATCCAAACCAACACGCATCTCAGTGTTAAAGGAGAAGCCGCTGCTGTTCTTCAAATGTCCTTCCACATATGAAGCAAAGATGCAAGGGAAAATGCCCATGAAAGCATCACTAACTAACTTCCACCCAAAAGGGGGAACCCATATAAAGGAATGGTCCAGGAGATTTAAGGGCAAAATACATGTATTTCACCTTGTGGAGGTCTCAACACGTGTCCTGCCTTCTCCTCTCCTTGAGTCAAGACACTGCCATCCAGGAATAGTTTGGACATGTGAGAGCATCCACTTGGACCAGTTAGAGCATCCACTTGGACGAGAGCCACCGTGTCTCAGCCACTGTGTCCTTCAACCCTTCATCCTCCTCAGACGAAGGGCTCAATTCGCCTACACGAGGCTCCATCTCAAGCTCAAGTCCTGCACGATCCCATGAGATGTCCTGCAAGCTGGAATCCCCCCTCTGCTTTGAGGCAGTGCTGGCTGCTGCCTCCATCCCAGGATGCTATCGTGCATCGCTTGAGATCCTTCAGCGCAAGAGGTGCTAGAGAAACACAGCGGTGATGGCCCCTTTGCCCCAGAGCTGCTGCTGCTGCCAACGCATCGCAATGAGGGAGGAAGGGGCTGGTCACAGCGGGGAGCACACCGGAGAAGGGGGTCCCTTCTACAGGTCTGCAGACACCACAACTCACCTACACAACGGACTTCACCATGCTGACGGGAGAGGAGCGGGAAGGAGAGAGGGCGAGGGAAAAGGGGCTGGACTGGAGAGGAAGAGGGGGATACAGTAATGGGGAAGGGGGGAGAGAGGAAGATAAATGAAAAACAGGAGTAAGAAAATATATAAGTAAATTAAAGAGACTGAAAAGAAAAAAATAATAATAATTAAGAAAGAAAAGAAAAACGCACTCAGACAAGCGGACTCACAACTTCTCCAAGCGGGAGGAGGCATGAAACACATGCAGAGGATCAGCACATGGACAGTCTTTAAAGGGGAACCTGTTTTCTTTCAAGCGGGGAGCGAGGGGTGCTCCTCCTCCCGCACGCCTGGTGCCAACGTCCCTTTGTCACTCAACGCTACGCCACGACCAAGCCCCCAAGCTCCCGGCATCACCAACACTGCCCTGGCAAAGGAGGGGGGGCGGTGTGGCCACCCAGGGCAGGCTGCGGTGCCAGGGACCATGGGGGCTTGGTGCCTTGTCTGTGGTTTTTGGGTTTCCCTCTGCAGGGAGACGACAGCCCCCTCTTCCCCATTAGAAGATGCATCACTACACACTGCATCCAAAGAGAAGAAGATGGGAAAACTGCTTGTGCCGACTCAGGACCAGCATTATTTAACCATGCCCATCGGTAAAAATTAGCTGATCTTCAGCCAGCGAAAGCCACCGTGCTGCAGCCACCACTGAGCCCGCAAACTGCCTCTCCCTCTCCTCTTCTCAGCTTTTATTACTGCAGTAGAGAAATCTGGCTGGTCTGGTATAAAATCCCTGTGCTCCGCATGCACTGACAATTTTATGACCCCAAATCATCAAGAAATTACTTGGCTGGGCTCTTTACAGGATTCCTCGCTTATTAAAGTGAGATTTATTCTTTTGGCTTCCCCTTTTTGGGGATAATGACTCTGGAGTCGCTCCTGCAACTCCAACCCTCAGCAGCATCTCGGAGTAAGATGCACGGCTGCTCCTCCGCAAGCTCCCAGCTGGGCGATGTGACCCTGCTCCTGAAACCCCATCAGCTCGCGGCACCCAGCACCAGAGACAGGAGACAGCCCAGATCTGCGCAAGAGCCACACCGAACTCTGACGTGAGCCTGGCTCACCTCTGCTGTGCTAAAGCCACGTTCACTCGTGTCCCTAACGCTCCCAGAGCAGGGAAGCACCACGGAAGAAAGAATAGAGCAAACAGCCACGTCCTCGCTGAGGGCTTCCCCATTTCTCGAGAAATCTGGCACAGCCCAGATCTCACCAAAGCTTGGTGCTAGCTTTGCTCCTCACAGGACACCCCGCTCTAGGATCAACAGCGGAAAAGAGAAGAAGGTGTCCAAGTACTTAAGAGCTTTGGAGGCTGCAAGGCTCGAACTGGAAGGGTTTTGCCATGCCACGATGGCTCCTCCATGGAGCGCATATCCTGTACCTGCTCCCATTGCATGACACAACACTCCTTCCTCCCCTCTCCTGCTCTCCCCACCCCAGGACAACCCTCCACATCAGCTAGAGGAATTCCCCTCTCCTGGAAACATCTACTTGATTTCTCTAAGCAGCTTATCTCCCTCTCATGGGGCTCTTTTCCAGTCCAACAAGGCTCCTCAGGCTGTTAGGAGAGCACTGGCCAGGACCTTGACTCTTCCCATCCAAGGCAGCAAAGCTTAAATTTTTATAAGACCTGTCCTAAGGAATTTTGGGCATGACCAGGCCCCGTCTGCAATCCCACCTCTCCTTTCATAACCAGCCTGGCTGGCAGCCAAACAGGCCAGCGTTCCCAATCGTGGGGGTCAGGGATGACTATTATCCCATTTGGCTTTAGCAGTTTTAGTAACATTCTCTGCTTTTAAGGTCCGAAAACCATCTCTTGATTACTCCATCCCAATTACCGGGATGCCGTGGCCTTGTAGGAAACCGGCCCCATGAAGGCAGCCCAAGAGGTATTTGCTGGGGAGAGTCTTCCAAGATCTGCTTAAGGCTATTTAATTACAGCTGGGTCAGAAGAAGTCTTAAAGCTTTCTCCAAGGAGTATTTCAGAGAGGAAGGGCTTTTACTATGACTACACTTGTGACAGGAATGATAAGACACCTCACTGGCAGCCTGAAACTGTACTTATGCTGCTGCCAACCATACAGTCCATCTTGAAAGTAAGACTCCTCCCATTTTGCATGATTGAGGGAACTTGGGAAAAAGAAAACAGATCCAGGTACTGATGGGAACAAAATTCTCCTTGTCCTGGACTGCAACTGGAGACTGATTTTTGGAGCTCCAGTTCAAGAGCACTGTCTGCAGCTGATTGCTCCACATGTGGCTGTTTCACCAGGTTCCAGGGGGTGGCCATGAGCTCCTCCTGGTTTAGATGGTCCAGGACAATCTCACCTCAACATGCACCTCCCTAACACCACACAACCCTCACGCCACGCAAGCCCTGCAGGAGCCAAGGGTGCCACGTGTCGCCATCCTCCAGGAAGGATGGCCACGGGGAGACAGCAGCTTGGCTCATCCCAAACCCCAACATGAAGACACAGCTGCCACCACCGGGCTCTCCAGCTCCACTGCCTCCCCCAAGGCAGGGGAGCAGCGGCACGCTGCTGGGAGGGGAAACCCAAAAGCCACAGAGACTGTGCGTCCAGAGGTGTTTCCTAGTGTTTTCGGATTCCTTATTCCCCTTTAAAGGAAGAGATGGTATTGGAAAAGCCCCTTCTGTGTCCCCTCTCATGCCCCGCTCCCGGCCACCCTCCACAGCGCCCACACCATCCTTTCGGACATGGATCACCCTTACCTATTGAGCTGAGGAGAAGCTTGTCTCGACAACACTGCCCAGATAGCTGAGATTAATCAAAAACAAAGCAGTTATCAACACCCGCAAGGAGCCGAGCTCCGCAACACATCAGCACATCAACAACTCCAAAGGAAAAGGAGGGAAAGAAACCAAACTGAAACACAAACCAAACGAGGCTGGAGAAGAAAGGGGGAAAGAAACAGAAGAGAAAGGAAAAGAAGAAACGAAAACAATAATCAACAAAGCGAATGGATACACTGCGTAAAAGCACGAACAACAGTGCTGCTCTAACACAGATCTGTCCTGGAGCTGGGTCTCCTCGGGGTGCCCTGGCTAGGAGACGTAGACCTACATCTACGTGTTTAATTGCATCGCTCCGTAGCTGTGTTTTCCAGAGGCAAACAGAAGTCGTTTCAGGCTCGTTCAGCTCCTCTCCCTCCCCATCCTCTCCCCTGAGCCCTCCTTCCTTCCCCCCTGTGCACCCCAGCCCGTGCCGTGCCAGAGGGGTTTTCTAAGGCCATAACGCTTCCAGGTACCAGAGGGCGGGAGTGAAATGCGGAGGGCACTGCGGGGTGAAACGCTGCCTCCCCCCTCCCCGAAACACACGCCTCTTCTCCGTACGCCTCCGACCGCGCCGGCTCCGTGGGGCTGGGTGCCCTGGCCCCCCGACTCCTCTCTGCTGCAAGCCGGAGGGGTCGGGGGGGGGTGGTTTGACCCCACCAGACAACAAGCCAAAATGAAGCGAGACGAAAGGATGGGACGAAAGCACGGCTACGGGATCTAAGGTGCTGTGAAAGACGGAAGGAAAGAGGAGAAATACAGAGAGAGAAAGAGAGAGAGAGAGAGAGACGCTTTTTGCCTGGAGCAACCCTGGTACCTGGAAAACCAGCCGCTACTGTCTAGTGCAGCCACATCCCTCTTTAGGGCAGGATCTGAGCGTGCCGGCAGCCTCCCGATCTCCGCTGGGGTTAGTTTATTTTTATTTTTCCTCCTCTCCTGACATGCTGCTGGTGTGGGCTAAGTCCTTGATCTCTCCCTGCCCGCGTCCTGGGGCTGCAGCATCCCTTTTGCAGGTGGGGCGGTGACCGTGATAGCTGTTTCTGTCATGCATTAAAGCTCTCTAGACTCCGCGGGAAGGAAGAGGAGGAAGACAGAGGCGCGGCGGCGGCGGCCCTAACGTTCGAAGAAAGCCAAGAGCCAGCAGCTAGAAGAGGAAACAACCGCCAGTGACACCAGGACACTTACCTACGCGAGCCGGGAGCCAGGTCTTTGCACGCCTGGTAGACGGCCCGCAGCCCGAGTCACGGCGCTCCCAGGTTCCCAAGGGAGCCGCCAGGGAGGAGGCAAGCGCGCCGCTGGCACCAGCAAGGTCGCCTGCCTAAAACCCAGCTCTCCCGGGCAGCGGCCATGCAACCCGCGGCACCAGTCTTTTCCTAGCAAAGCCCGCGGGATGCTGTCTCCAAAAGGGATGCTGCAGCGCGCCCAGAGAGACCCTACGAGTTGGGATGGCGATGGCGGGGAGGGAGTCAGAGGGAGCGGGTGAGGCAGGGTGGGGGAAGCCGGGAGGGGACTGAGGGGGGCACCACGGGGCTCACGCACTTACCCCGTGGCGGCTACCGTGGTGGATGTCGGCTCTGGTTGGAGAATCTCCTCGCCAGCCCTCCTCGGAGAGGGGATGTCTCCAAAAACATCCATGGTGTCCACGGGCAGGGAGGAGCCCTGGGAGCCGGAGAAGCCGGTGGCCAGGGAAGCGAAGGCGGCAGTAGGTCGGTAACTGGGGCTGCCTCCCCGGCTGCTGGGCGCGGGGGATCCCGTCGATGGCGTGGACTTGCGGGAGAAGCTGACCGCCGCGGGGGGCTGCAGGGTGATCTCCGACACCTCCGCCTGCTGGATGAGGCCCGGCCGGGGCCGGGCGCGGGCGGTCAGCTCCGGGGAGCTGTTGCGGGAGCTGAGGGGGCTTTGGGTCAGAGGAGAAAGCCTCGAAGGTTGTAGCACCGCCTGATGTAAACTGGGCTCAGCCCTCCTGCCCTGCCGAGGGCTGGGCCGAGGTCGGGGTTGGGGCTCGTACCACCTGGTGTCCAGGCTGAATGTGCTTGTGCCGCTGGGGCCGACGGGCTCGGACGGTTCGTGGTAAGGCAACACGGGTATGCCCATACCTTGGCTGGTATGTCTTAGCTGCCCTTGACATCCCATGGGTTGCATAGGTTTGTCCTGCCACTTGGTGGTGGTGGGCACAGAGGGTTGGCCCCTGCCGGGTGACTTGCCGGTCCAGCTCTTTGGTGCCTCCAGGGGCAGGATGCCCGGGTAGGACGAGGGGACCACCTGGAGGGAGGAGGGAGGTGCCCCGAGGAAAAGGCAGCCGGTGGGCTGGGAGCCCTCGGCCGCCTCGCCGGGCCGGGGCTGG